CTGGAAGGAGGCCTGAGTAAGGTCGAGCTTGGGTTGCAGAAGAAAAGGGCCATTTGTCCTAAAACCTGAAAAAAACAGAACTATGATGAAGCAGCATTGTTCATCTGAGGTAATATTTGAGGTACGTTGCGTCATGTCAAGGAAATCAAGGACATGAATACACATGGAGTGAGGTTAAGAATGGAGGTTTGACAGGCAAAAGGAGAAAGGAGAACATCTCTCTCTCCTGCAGAGAGAGAGGGGCTTCTGAGTGTGTCTTTTGGTTATGTGGTGAACTACACGGGGTTTTATAGACTTGCGTGAGGAAGTGGTGTCTGATTTACGTAGGGTCCAAATATGGGTTGGACCAGGTGAGACGTTTACATAGCTTTTGAAGAAGCTGGCCACCCACCCCAATCTTCTTCTTATGCATATAAGTTTTCTACTTGGCTGGTGCCATGTTGTCTGCTCCCTACTGTACTTGTGGTTGATAAAGAAAAAGGAAGATGGAGCTGTCAGGTTGAGCATGGCTGGTGCCCGGGTAGCCTTCTATTGTTACAGCTGCTGGCATTCACCTGTGCAAGCTTCCAGCTTGCTTGTCTATGTCTGCAGCTCGATTTTACAGGCTTCTCTTTTTAAGAAATGGTTATGGGGCTGCTTTTTATTAAAAGGGAAACCTTACCCTCAATCTCTGACTAAATAATTTCTTTATACCTCCTATATCAATGGGACTTCTGGATTACAGTTGAAGTAGTTTTGGCTGATCATGAACTCTGCCTCCACTAAATAATGAATGCTTTTATTTTCTATGTCTCAAGGAGGGTCTCTTTGCTTCTTGCCCTTCTTCAGAATAGCAGTGTGGAAATTGCATTTAGAACACCTGTTGGGCACAGTAGCTCACACCTGTAATCCTAGCAATTTAGGAGGCTAATATGGGAATATTGCTTGAGGCCAGCAATTTGAGACCAGTCTGGGCAACATAGTGGTACCCCATCTCTCAAAAAAAATTACTGGCTGTGGGGGTGCACACCTGCTTCCCTGTTGGCCCAGCTGCTGTCAGGAGGCCATGACAGGAAGGTCACTTGAGCTCAGGAGTTTGAGGCTGCAGTGAGCCATGGTCATGCCACTGCACTTCAGCCTGGGTGACTCCATCTCTTTAAAAAACAACAAAAACCAACCAACAGAAGCCCACTTCCTATCTGGAATGGGAACTGGTAGAGCCTTATGACAGTGAGTGACTCAGTGGCAGAGCAAACATTTGGCCACAGCTTTAATGGTGCAATTTGAACCTTTTGTTTGTCCTACTGACCAAGGCTGTGGCTGTCTTAGGGTCCTCCATATGGTCTGGCCCTGGAGGAGAAGGAACTGTTATTTATTCAACACTTTCTGTGTGTGGAGCCCAAGATAAGAACTTTATGTTTGTTTCACAGATGAGAGTGGGGCTAAGTAGCTTGCTCAGAATCACACAAGTGAGAGGTAGGGGGGCCACGTTCTTTAACCAGTTTGTGAATAGATGTCTTCCCAAGAACGTACAGCTGATGGCATAATGTTGACCTTAAGCCTAAGTTAATCAAATCGACATTTAATAAAAAGCAATAGATTTTCTCTTGTAGCCCAAGAAAGAGCCACTTGACTATAGCTAATCAGTGAGAGAAATGCCTCTATCAAAGGAATAAGTGATCAGAATTCATGGGCAGCAATGGGACATAGGAATGTCGGAATGAGAGGTGTGGGCTCCAGGGATGCGGGAGAAAGCTTCTCCTCCAGTATTCCCTGACTCTTGAATGCTGCTGTCTTTTAAATAGGAATACAAAACCACTCTGTTGTTTTGCACTTCCCCATGCCCTGAATCTTTTTTTTGTGGACTGTATCCTCCAATAACTTATTCAAGCAAGGATACACTGAAGCAAATTGTTCTGAAATATGACTCTATTTCTTCTTACATTTACATGACTGGTTGGGCATAGAATTTTAGATTGAAAATAATTTCCCTTTCAAGTTTTGAAGATACTACTCCATTATTTTCCAGCTTCTGGTAGTGCTGTTGAGAAGCCTAAAATCATTCTGATTTTTGATTCTTTGTAAATACTGTTTTTTAAAAAACTTTTCTGAAAACTTAGGGGAGCTTTTTTTTTTTTGTTATATATTGCAGATTTTCAAGACAACGTTCCTTGGTGTGAGCTCGTTTTCATGTGTTTAAACCTAGGAGATTATGTTGTTCAACTTGGGACGTTTTCTTTTATTTTAACTTTTATTTAAGTTCAAAGGTACAAGCACAGGTTTGTTATTTAGGTAAACTCTGTCATGGGGTTTGTTGTACAGATCATTTCATTACTCAGGTATTAAGCCTAGTCCCCTTTAGTCATTTGTCCTGATCTTCTTTCTTCTCCCACTCTCCACTCTCTGAAAGGCCCTAGTGTGTGTTGTTCTCCCGCCTGTCATACGTCCATGTGTTCTCATCATTTAGCTCCCACTTGCAAGTGAAAACATCTGGTATTTGGATTTTGTGTTCCTGCATTAGTTTGCTAAGGATGATAGTCTCTAGCTCCATCTATGTCCCTGAAAAGAACATGATCGCATTCTTTTGTGGCTGCCCAGTGTTCCTGGGTGTATATGTACCACATTTTCTTTATCCAGTCTACCACTGATGGGCATTTAGCTTGATTCCATATTTTTGCTATTGTGAATAGTGCTGCCATGGACATATGCTTGCACATGTCTCTATAACAGAAGGATTTATATTCCTTTGGGTACATACCTAGTAACCCATTACTGTTTGCTGAATCAAATGGCATTTCGCTCTTTAGGTCTTTAAGAAATCATAACACTTTTTGACAATGCAGAACTAATTTGCATTCCCAAATACAGTGTGTAAGTGTTGTTTTTCTCTATAACCTTGCCAGTATGGTTTTTTTTTTTACTTTTATAATTGCCATTATGACTTGTGTGAGATGGTATCTCATTGTAATTTTAATTGGCATTTCTCTAATGATCAGTGATATTGAGCTTTTTTCATATGATTGCTTGTTGCATATATGTCTTGTTTTGAAAAGTGTCTGTTCATGTTCTTTGCCCACCTTTTTATGGGTTGTTTTCCTCTTGTAAATTTAATTTCCTTATAGATGTTTGATATTAGATTTTTGTGGGATGCATAGTTTACAAAAATTTTCTCACATTCTATAGGTTGTCAGTTTGCTCTGTTGATACTTTCTTTTGCTGTGCAGAAGATTCTCATTTTAATTTGACTCCATTTGTCAATTTTGCTTTTGTTACCTTTTCTTTTGGCATCTTCATCATGAAATCTTTGTCTGTGCTTATTGTCCTGAATGGCATTGCCTCAGGTGTCTTCCAGAGTTTTTATAGTTTTGGGTTTTACATATCAGTGTTTAATCTATCTTGAGCAAATTTTTGTATGTAATGTAAGGAAGGGGTCTAGTTTCAGCCTTTTGCATATGGCTAGCCAGTTATCCTGGCATCATTTATTGAATAGGGAGAATCTTTTCTCCCTTGCTTGTTTTTGTTAAGTTTGCCAAAGTTCAGATAGTTGTAGATGTTTGGTTTTGTTTCTGGATTCTCTATTTTGTTTCTTTAGTCTGTGTGTTTGTTTTTGTACCAGTACCATGCTGTTTTGTTTACTGTAACCCTGTAATGTAGTTCAAAGCCTGGTACCATGTCACTTCCAGTTTTGCTCTTTTTGCTTAGGATTGCCTTGGCTGTTTTTGGTTCCATATGAATTTTTAAAAAGCTGGTTTTCTGAAAAAAATAATAAAACTCAACCTACTTCTTAACATTTTTCAAGAACCCAAATGAAATCATGACTGTTCTTGGAGATTGCCCTTTGTAGGTTTTAATTTACTACCCAGTAACTGGTCTATTAAAATCTTACTGGTTAAAAAAATAAACTTGTAGCTAGACCAATGAAGGAGAAAGGGAGAAGATTCAAATTAACACCATCAAAAACAATAAGGGCAATATTACCACTGACCACACAGAAATGCAAACCACCCTCAGAGAATATTATGAACAACTGTAGGCACTTTTTTTTTTGTTTTATTTTGAGACGGAGTTTTGTGCTTGTTGCTCAGGCTGGAGGACAATGATGCAATCTCGGCTTACTGCAACCTCTGCCTTCTGAGTTCAAGCAATTCTCCTGCCTCACCTTCCTGAGTAGCTGGGATTACGTGCATGTGCCACCATGCCTGGTTAATTTTGTATTTTTAGTAGACATGTGGTTTCTTCATGTTGATCAGGCTGGTCTTGAACTCCCAATTTCAGGTGATCAGCCCACCTTGGCCTCCCAAAGTTCTGGGATTGCAGATGTGAGCCACTGAACCTGGAAAAATTGAGAAATCTGGAAGAAACTGATAAATTCCTGGTCACAATCACCCTCCCTGGGATGCAAGATTGGTTTAACATATGCAAATCAATAAATGTTGTTTATCACATAAACAGAACTAAAGAAAAAAAAACTTCACATGATTATCTCAATGGATGCAAAAAAAGCTTTGGATAAAATTCAACATTCATTTGTGTTAAAAACTCTCAATAAACTAGGTATTGAAGGAACATACCTCAAAATAATAAGAGCCACATGTGACAAACCCAGAGCCAGCATCATACTGAATGGACAAAAGCTGGAAGCATTCCTCTTAAAAACTGGCACAAGACAAAGATGCCCTCTCACCCCACTCCCATTCAGCATAGCTTTGAGAGTGTTCTTTGTTCTTGGATGTCTAGATCCTTTAATTGTGATGTTGGGTGGTTAACTTTAGATCTCAATTTTATTTTGAGATGGAGTCTTGTTCTCTCACCCAGGCTGGAATGCAGTGGTGTGATAACAGCTCACTGCAACCTTTGTCTCCTGGGTTCAAGCAGTTCTCCTGCCTCAGCCTCCTGAGTAGCTGGGATTACAAGTGTGTGCCACCACACCAGTTAATTTTTGTATTCTTAGTAAAATGGGGTTTCACCATGTTGGTCAGGCTGGTCTCAAACTCCTGACCTTGTAATCTGCCCAATTTCAGGTTATCAGCCTGCCTTGGCCTCCCGAAGTGCTGGGATTACAGGAGTGAGTCACTGCAGCTCTCCTGAGATCTCACTTTTTGATGAGAGCTTTTAGTGCTATAAATTTCTCTCAACACTACTTTACTAGCTGCATCCCAGAAACTCTGGTAAGTTGTATCTTTGTTCTCATTAGTTTCAAAGAACTTCTTGATTTCTGCCTTAATATCATTATTTACCCAGGAGTCATTCAGGAGCAAGTTATTCAGTTTCGATGTAAGTGTATGGTTTTGAATGAATTTCTTAGTGCTGATTTTAAATGTGATTGCATTTGCTTTGTGACCTAACGTATCTTCTATACTTATGAATGATCTATGTGTTGAGGTGAAGAATGTGTATTCTGCAGTCATTGGATGAAATGTTCCTTGAATATCAGTTCCATCTGGTCTGTAGTATAGATTAAATTTAATGTTTGTTGGTTGGTTTTCTGTCTGGAAGATCTGTCTAGTGCTGAAAGTTGGGTGTTGAATTCTCCAGCAATTACTGTGTTAGGGTTTATCTTTCTCTTTCTTTTTTGGTGCATGTGTCTGTTCTTCTTTCTCTCTCTCTGTCTGTCTCTATTTCTATCTTTAGAATTTTGATCATTTTAGTATTGAACCTGTTTTAATTTTCTTCCAGATTTCAACTTTTTTCTTATAGCTATTTCTGGAGGACATAAGGGTCATCTACTCAACTTTGTTGTCTTATTATTCTAACAATATTTTTTAACAAGTTTTGCTGTCATATTTTCAATTTCTAAGTGTTTTCTTCTTTAAATTTGGTTTTTGTTTCATGAAAATGGTAACTACTTTTAGCTCTTCGAGAACATTCATATGGGTTTCAGAAGGTCTTATCTTCTAGCACAGTCCTTTCTGTTCAGGCTGCGTTTATGTGTCTTCTTGCTCTGGTCTCTGCCATTCATGTTAGAAGCTTTGCTCAGATGCCTGGTGACCCTTAGCTGTCTGTGTCTGTTAAAAAAAAGATGGAGCACTGAAAAGCTGAAGTTCTGTGATTGTAACCTTCCGTGGGTGGTGGTCTTGCTAGGTCAGACATTTTTTTCTTGGGCTAGAGAGATTCTCTCTAGAGAAGAATCATCTTACCTTCTGACCAAGTATTTGCCACCCTCATTGGAACTAAGTGGTAGGAAAACCTGGAGGATCTCAGTGTTCAGTGTGTACATTTAAGCACTTGTGTCTAGAGAGCTCCTGCCTAGAGACACCGAATTTTACCCTATAGAGAGGAAACCTCCAGCCTGCCCCCACTGTGGGATGCAGTCACCCAGTCTAGGGAGAGGATCTGGGATCTACCTACTACTGAAACATAAATTTTCTAGGTAAGGTATGCTGCCAACTCTTGAACTCTTGGGGATCCTGGTTGCCTTCCTGCTGCTGGCTTGGGATTTAGCATCCCTGGGTCTACTGTCAGGTGCCACTGACAGCTTCTGCTTGCCGGTTTCCTATATGCTGAAGGTATTGTCTTTATTTTCTTCTTGTCTTTGTTGGTTTATTTATTTTTAATCATCCTGTGTTAATGTGGTTTAATGATGGAGTGAAGGTAAATGCATTTATTCAACCAAACATCTTAGCTGAAGTCTGTGTATTTTTCTTATAGTAAAATCTTAATCATTCCATGTTTCAGTTAATTATATTTTTATATATGCATTCTGATTTGGGGATGATGTGAGGGAAGAGAGAGAGAAAGAAAGAGAGACAGAGACAGAGAGTGAGAGAGAGAGGATACTGTGACAAACCTGTGGGTCTATGTACTTTGAAGTCAATAGGAATTTAGCCCTGTTTTTTGTCTAAAAAGCAGGAATGTCCAGGCAGTGAATACTGAACTAGTCTAAGAATCTTTGAGGCAATAGGGCAGATATAGTTGTGTTCAATTTTTAGTCTTTAGGCTGAAAGGAGAAATAATGTAAAATGCATTTTTAAAAATTTCTGAAAGTGATGTTTTCATTTGCCCTCAGATAATTAGATATGGAAGGTAGCCATACATCTTTGGCTAACTCAGCATTCGTTGCTACATTCAGCGAATTCATCTTTATATTCATATCCTTTCTCTCCAGCTTAATATCCAAAATTTAAAAGTGAGGAATGCAGAATAGTTGAACTAAAAGAAACTGATCAACCACAACCTGCCTCTTCTTCCTCCCACCCAAAGACAACCATTGTATAACATTTTGCTATATTCTCTTCATGTACTTTTTTTCAGGCACCTTTATTCAAATATATTTTTGATCCTAAAATTGTCTTAGACAATTAATAAGTTTTCAGAGAAGAACACCCACTCTCCTCACACTCCAGGCTCCCTGCTTGAATTTGACTGACTTGGGAATCCTGTATCTTAACAAGATATGATGTTGATATGATTTCTTTTATTTGACTCTTCTGAGGTGTTCTCTTTTTAGCACACTCTCCTTCATCCCCTTCTTCCCTGCTATACACACACACACACACACACACTCTTTCTGTCTCACACACACATTCTCATACGCACATACACACATGCCCAAACACATGTGCACATGCACGTGCATGCACACACACATACGGACACACATGCATATACACACTCTCCTTCATCTCCTTCCTCCATGCTACACACACATACTCTCACACATACGCACAGACACGACACACATGCACATGTGCACACACACATATGTACAACCTGCAATGTGTCAGAGAAGGCCATGTAGAAAACGATTGTTACTCTCCAAAGGGAAGGACACCCACACTTTTACAATGGGCAAAAACAGCTCTGTTTTTGTAAAAAATGAATTTTCTATTAGGCCTAGAAAGACACTTAAAAAGTGTTTCTTCTTTTATCTAATTGGAACTTGTATATGTGCACAAACCCGTGTGACAGAAAGAGCCAGGGAGAGAGGGAGGAAGGGAGAGGAGGGGGAGGCAAGAAGAGAGAGAGCGATTAAAGGGCAAGTGCACTGTGGCAAGCTCGTCTGGACTCAGCGAGGGGCAGGCAGCTGTGGTGATGAGATAGGAGCTTGGAATGCTTCATGGTACCAAGACTGTCGTAAGTGGCTCCTGGGGTCTGAAAAAACGAAGCAGAATTCAGCATTCCTCTGACAACCACTCAGAAAATAGAATGTGAAGAAGCAGGAGGAAGGAAGATGTGGGGCCAGCCATGAGAATGCACCCCGCTGCTCCACGGATGCCTAGAAATGCTGGTCACTTATAGGGCACAGGTGAGGGGAAGTCTGGAGGTGGCAATAGTGCTGCCAAGCCATGTAGCCTGCTCTCTCAAGGGTGATTGTTGTTGTGTAAGTAGTGGGGAAGATTATCGACTAGTTTGTATAGGCCCCCTTTGTCCTAGACACAGATTTTAATTTTCTCAGGTGATCACTTGTTTGATTGTCTGTGTAAAAGATCAGCAATCCTTTTTACTTGAAAGGTCTAGGTAGTAAATATTTTAGGCTTGGCAGCCCATATGGAATCTGTCACAGCTACTCATCTCTGCAGCTGTGGTGTGAAAGCAGCCATAGAAATAGGTAATAAAGGATTGGGGCAGAGTTCCAAAGTACTTTTATGAACACTGAAAATTGCATTTTATATAATTTTTTACATGTCCCAAAATATTATTACTCTTTTGAATTCTTTCAGCCATTTTAAAAGGTAGAAACCATTCGTAGCTCATGAGCTGTATGTAAGAGACCACAGGCAGGAATTGGTGGATGGGCCATGGTTGCCCAAACCCTGTGTCCAAATCATGGCATTGTCCAGGCAGAAGGGATCTCTGACACTCTCTTTTTTTCTCTTTCCTTCTTTTCAGTTTCTCATTGTGCTGATTTGGAAACCAGAAATCGAAAGCTCAGGGAAGAGGACCATTTCTGACTTAACCCGTTAGTGGCAGTGTTAGGATAAAATCCCAGGTCTCAAGGAGCACTTCTTACAGCCTAGACCAAGATTGAATGCCTCTTTTGTGATTGCAGAAGGCATACCATGCTCTGGTACACTAGCTCCTTAGGGTCACCCTGAATCTGAAACTTAGTTCTTTGTAAAGTCTTTTGTTCTATGATTCTTCAGTGCATCATTTACTAATTTGCGCCAGTTACTCTGTTTAACACAACTGAGATATAGACATAAGCAAAGTTGCTGCCCTTTAGGAACTCACTTCTTCAGGGCCTGGTTTTGATAATCCAGACAAAACTACTTAAATGTAGTTTTACCCTTAAAAGCAAAATCTGCTGCACATATGTAAGTTACAATAATAATTAGAATTTAGAGAAGTCCATTCTTGAAACAAGAAGGCAAAGAGAATAAAAAATAAACGTCAAAGTCACCCTCTGACTGTGTGTTGGTTTTAAAACAACAAGACTATTATTTTAAGTGAACACACAAGAAATTTTGCTACCAAGCGAGTACAATTTATACCAGGTGATACATCAATTCCTCTGATTCCAGACATTTTTGAAAGTGCCCTTACTACCTACATTACTTCCTTCTGTAAAGCTCTACTGATTAAGTCTTTATCTTTTGTGGTTGGATTTTTGCTTTTGGAATTACAAACTGCTTTTCAAGTCACATTTTGTAAATTAGTTGAGGTATCTTTCTGGGCGATAATGTCTGAGTCAAAAACGTCCTGAAAAGTGCCTCGTGTGAACCAGTGAGTCATCATGGCAAAGATTTCAATTGTTGGACTGAAGCAGAGAGGTAGAAAGAACATAGACTTTAAGGTCTGACAGATATAAGTGTAGGTCCCACCTCCACCACGTATTAGATGTGTGATGTTAAATGAGACACTATACCTCTTTGAGCCTCAGTTTTCCTATCTGTAAAAAGGAGGCTAAAGCGTTCCTTGCACTATTGTTGTAGGGATTAGAGATGATGTAAATAAAAATGTTTCCAGCATGCTAGGTATTCAACGTACCTTGGATAGACTCACTTGGCCAGTTCACTACAAAGGATAGTATACATGAGTAAGATTTTTCTTTTTTTCAAAATAGACTTTTTGGGATTAAACTCTAAAATAGTGTTAAATAAATGAATCAAGATATTTTTCACTTCTGTTGTTGAAGTATGTGCCTTTTTACGTTTGGTAATGTTCGAATTTTTTACAGAAGTTGACACTTCAAGTCTGAATCATACTAGAAATACCATGTTTCAACACTAGTTACTATTTTCTTTTCTAAAAGTGTCATTTGTCTAGCTTCCCTTGAAAGATCAGCTAAATGTCACATTATCCCTGCTTCTGCTAATCTTTCAAAATGCTCACCACCGTAGTCATAACATTTTCTTCATGCTCAAGTGTATTTAAAAAATGTTCTAAAGATAGTGTTGCTGAATTTTTGTTTAATAAAAATTAGATTTTTAAATATAAAAATATAGATTCATTATAAAACCTCTAGAAAACAAAGAAAAATAGATCTAAAAAATATCTTGTTTAATCACATAAAGCTAGGCACAGTTAAATTACTGTTTCCATTTTGGTATATTTTATTTTAATCTTTTTACTATTTTTACTGTCCTTCTTTATATCCATAATGGTGATAATATGATGTATATATGAACATGTATATATTATATAAATATATAAAATACATAAATATATCTTTTTAAAATGGTATCTGTTTATCCATTATATATAAATATATATCCAATGATTATATATCTATATATCTACTTATATATCTACATATCTCCATGATAGAAATTGGAAAATACTGAAAACTATAGAGGAGTTATGAGAAACAACCTATAATCTCATTATACAGAAATAATTTTCTTCCCTATTGCTTCTCCACATTTTGGCTCAGATGAAATTTAGAAATGATTTTCTTAACTTTTTTTGTATTGTGTTTTTAGAGTATCAAGATATTGCTGCATATTCTGATTTTTATGTATAGTTGTTACAGGAACACCCACGAAAATAATTGTTCTGGAAAAGAATTTGTTAACAAATATTTTTTTTCCAGGAAGTGGTGTATTAGCCTTTTCCAGTGAAAAAGAGATCACCACTGATGACAGAGGTTATTCAATATGGGTTTTAAAAGAAAAATTCCTGGACATGGAAGTAGACGTTGGGTTTATATCAACAGCTCAATCTTTTCTTAAATACACTTCATTTTTAGAGCAGTTTAATTAATAGCAAGGCATAGTGGAAAGCACAGAGAGTTCCTACATTCCCAGCTCCCCAAATACACAGCCTCCTTTACTATCAGCCTTCCTCACTAGAGTGGTACATTTTTTACAATGGATGAACCTACTTTGACTTGTCACTGTCACCCATAGTTTATAATTTACATCAGGGTCTATTCTTGCTGTTGTATATTCAGTGAGTTTTGACAAGTGTGTAATGGCATGTGTCTACCATTATAGTAACACAGAGTAGTTTCATTGCCCTAAACATCCTCTATGCTCTGCCTTTTCATCCTTCCCCACTTTTCAACCCCCGTCAATCACTGAACGTTTTGCTGTCTCTATAGTTTTGCCTTTTCCAGAATGTCATATAGTTGGATTCATATAGTAAGTGGTCTTTTGAGATTTGTTTCTTTCACTTAGTAGTATGTATTTAAGTTTCCTCTATGTCTTTTAATGGCTTCATAGCTCATTTTCTTTTTCTTCTGCAACAAAAGCCACTTTCAAAGCTTATTTGCTTTTATTGCTGAATAATATTCCACTGTGTAGATTTACAGGTTTGTTTATCCAGGCACTTACTGAAGGACATCGTGGTTGGTTCCAGGTTTTGGCAATTATGAATAAAGCTGTTATAAACATGTATCTGCAGGTTTCCATGTGGACAAGTTTTCAATTTATTTGGGCAAATACTAACAACTGTGATTGTGGATCATATGGAAAAAGCACGTTTAGCTTTGCAGGCAACTGCCAAACTGTTTTCCAAAGCGGTGGCTATGCCACTTTGCATTCCCATGGGCAATGAGTTAGTTCCTGTGGCTCCCCATCCTTGCCAGCTGCTGGCATTGTCAGTGCTTGGATTATGGCCACTCTAACATGTATGTGTTGGTATCTCAGTTTAATTTGCATTTTATTATATAAGATGTGGAGCATCTTTTCATATGTTTATTTTGCACATTTGTCTCTTCTTTGGTGAAGTGTTTTTTCAGGTCTTTTGCCCATTTTTTAATCAAGGTGTTCATTTTCTTATTTTTGAGTTCTTGGTATATTTTGGATAATAGTTCTTTATCAACTATAAAAATATTGATATGACGATGGAACATATCTCAAAGTAATAAAAGCTATTTACGACAAACCAACAGCCAATATACTGAATGGGCAAAAACTGGAAGCATTCCCTTTGAAATCTGGCACTAGACAAGGATGCCCTCTTTCACCACTCCTATTCAATATAGTACCAGAAGTTCTAGCCAGAGCAATCAGGCAAGAAAAAGAAATAAAGGGTATTCAAATAGGAAAGGTGGAAGCCAAATTGTCTCTATTTGCAGACGACATGATAGTATACCTAGAAGACCCCATCGCCTCAGCCCAAAAACTCCTGAAACTGATAAGCAACTTCAGCAAAGTCTCAGGATATAAAATCAATGTGAAAAAATCACAAGCATTCGTCGACACCAATAACAGACTTAAAGAAAGCCAAATCAAGAATGAACTGCCATTCACAATTGCTACAAAAAGAATAAAATACCTAGGAATACAACTCACAAGGAACGTAAGGGACCTCTTCAAGGAAAACTACAAACCACTGCTCAACGAAATCAGAGAGGACACAAACAGATGGAGAAACATTCCATGTTCATGGTTAGGAAGAATTAATATCGTGAAAATGGCTATACTGCCCAAAGTAATTTACAGAATCAACACTATTTCCATCAAGCTACCATTGACTTTCTTCACAGAACTGGAAAAAACCACCATGAACTTCATATGGAACCAAAAGAGAGCCCGCATAGCCAAGTGAATTCTAAGCAAAAAGAACACAGCGGGGGGCATCACACTACTGGATTTCAAACTATACTACAAGACTACAGTAATCAAAACAGCATGGTACTGGTACCAAAACAGAGATATAGACCAATGGAACAAAACAGAGGCATCGGAGGCAACACAACATATCTACAACCATACAATCTTTGATAAACCTGACAAAAACAAGCAATGGGGAAAGGATTCCCTGTTTAATACATGGTGTTGGGAAAACTGGCTAGCCATGTGCAGAAAGCAGAAACTGGACCCCTTCCTGACACTTTACACTAAAATTAACTCCAGATGGATTAAAGACTTAAACATAAGACCTGGCACCATAAAAACCCTAGAAGAAAATCTAGGCAAAACCATCCAGGACATAGGAGTAGGCAAGGACTTCATGAACAAAACACCAAAAGCATCAGCAACAAAAGCCAAAAGAAACAAATGGGACCTAATGAAACTCCACAGCTTCTGCACGACAAAAGAAACAGTCACTAGAGTGAATCGGCAACCAACAGAATGGGAAAAAAGTTTTGCAGTTTACCCATCTGACAAAGGGCTGATATCCAGAATTTACAAAGAACTCAAACAGATTTACAGGAAAAAACAAACAAGCCCATTCAAAAATGGGCAAAGGATATGAACAGACACTTTATAAAAGAAGACATATATGAGGCCAACAAACATATGAGAAAATGCTCATCATCTCTGGTCATTAGAGAGATGCAAATCAAAACCACATTGAGATACCATCTCACGCCAGTTAGAATGGCAATCATTACAAAATCTGGAGACAACAGATGCTGGAGAGGATGTGGAGAAAAAGGAACACTTTTACACTGTTGGTGGGAGTGTAAACTAGTTCAACCATTATGGAAGACAGTGTGGCAATTCCTCAAGGCCTTAGAAATAGAAATTCCATTTGACCCAACAATCCCATTACTGGGTATATATCCAAAGGACTATAAATCGTTCTACTATAAGGACACATGCACACGAATGTTCATTGCAGCACTGTTTACAATAGCAAAGACCTGGAACCAACCCAAATGCCCATCGATGATAGACAGGATTGGGAAAATGTGGCATATATACACCATGGAATATTATGCAGCAATCAGAAATGATGAGTTTGTGTCGTTTGTAGGGACATGGATGAATCTGGAGAACATCATTCTCAGCAAACTGACACAAGAACAGAAAATGAAACACCGCATATTCTCACTCATAGGCGGGTGATGAAAAATGAGAACACATGGACACAGGGAGGGGAGTACTAAACACTGGGGTCTATTGGGGGGGAAAGGGGAGGGCCAGAAGGGGGGGCAGCTGGGGAGGGATAGCCTGGGGAGAAATGCCAAATGTGGGTGAAGGGGAGAAAGGAAGCAAAACACACTGCCATGTGTGTACCTATGCAACTGTCTTGCACGTTCTGCACATGTACCCCAAAACCTAAAATGCAATAAAAAATTAAATAAATAAATAAAAATATTGATAATGATATTAACCTAATATGAAATAGAAAAATACTATCTTTTACAAATACTTTTTCCCCAGTCTGTGGCTTGTCTTCTGATTCTCTTGGCAGTTTCTTTCATGGAGTAGAAGTTTTTAATGAAGTTCACCTTTATCAAATCACTTCTTTAATGGATCATGTCATTTATCTTGTCTTTAAAAAGTCATTGTTGTGCTCGCTTTGGCAACACATATACTAAAAAGTCATTGTGACACTCCTGGTCATCTAGATTTTGCTGTACTGTATTCATATAACCTGATTTTTGTTACTTTATAGAAAGTACTGAAGTCAGGTAGCATCTGGCTTTCTTCTTCTTTTTCATTATTGTGTTGATTATTCTGAGTCTTTTGCCTCTGCACATAAACTGTAGAATGAGTTTGTCAATATCCATGAAACAACTTGCTGAAGTTGCATTCAATTTGCAGATTAAGTTGGGAAGAACTGTCATCTTGACAATATTGACTCTTGCTATTCAAGAACATGGAACCTCTCTCCATTTATTTAGTTCTTCTATTTATTTCATTTGTAGTTTTATCCATATAGATCTTGTGTATTTTAAAGGGATTTATACTTAGAGTTTATACTTATATTTTATATTTATAGTTTTTCATTTTTTGCAATCTACCCATATGACAAAGGTCTAGTATCCAGAATATATAAGAAACTTAAACTTACAAGAAAAAAACAACCCCAACAAAAAGTGGATGAAGGATATAAACAGATACTTCTTAAAATAAGACATTTATGGTGAAACCCTGTTTCTACTAAAAAATTCAAAATTATCTGGGCATGGTGGTAGGCACCTGTAATCCGAATTACTTCGGATGCTGAGGCAGGAGAATTGCTTAAACCTGCAATCCCGTTACTGGGCATGTACCCAAAAGATCGTAAATCATTCTACTGTAAAGACACATGCACCCTCATGTTTATTGTGGCACTGTTCACAATAACTTGGAACCAACCCAAATGCCCATCAATGATAAACTG